GATATACCTTTGGAGAGTATTAGGCATTTTAAGGAAAAATTGTGCCAGTTTTAAAAATATTTCACTGTCTGTGGTTTACTCTGGGTTTCTGCTTTAACTCTATTTTCATCATCGTCTTAGCTTTTTTCCCCTTAAGTATGTGTCTTGGCAGACAATGTCACATACGCTATTTTCTGTAACAGGTTATCATTTAATATACAATTCCTTTCAGACAGAAATGTAGAATTGATAAGCCAAAAGTGTGTAACTGTTGGGTTCTCAAAATGGAGTAGTTGTGTCATGGAACAAGGAAAAATCATGGCCCATAACTAGTATAAATTTGTGGATTGTAAATCTGAGGTTTTGAAAATAATTTCTTCTATCTTGTCCAGAAACTTCAAGGTAAAATCACTTTATCTTTTCTGACTCAACTTTTCCACACAGGAAAAAGAGAAAAGTACTTAGTGACTTGGTGGGAAATTTTATTGTGAACTTTCTGTGAATTTTTGGAAATGTGCAAGGCTAACATTATTCCCCTACTGTTTTGAAAAGATGTCAAATAAATCAGTGTACTCATATTTACCAGGTGTGAGTGTGGGGAAACACTGGATGATTTATGGGTATCAGGGGGAGAATGCTAAGGAGTTTGTGGGTGAACTGCCTCTTCTTGGGGGAGAGAGAGAGAGAGAGAGAGAGAGAGAGAGAGAGAGAGAGAGAGGTTGTACATGTCATAACAAAGCTCCTTTGAGTTGTTCTGGGAGTGGCTGGGTGTGTCAAATCATCCCTCAGCCTGACTGCTGAATAATCAAGTTACGATGTTTGCAGTGTTTCAACCTATAGGCAACAAAAAGAACCAACAAAACAGTCTCCTAGGTTATTAAATATTTGAGCCAATGATTACTTTTATTGAAGTAGAGGAAAGCATTGTTCGATAAAATTGTATAATGAATAACAGGAATATTCATTCTTTAAGCTATATTTCTCCCCTTCAAAACAAGCAAAAACTAGTCTTTTTCATACATGATCAATAAAATATTTCTTGTAGAAGTAAAAGGGAAAGAAGAACATCATGGGTTTTTTGGAATTATAGAGCAAATACATTCTTCTGTAGACAGGCAAATCATTTATATTATATTATATGTATCAGAATAAAATGTAGGGCCTCATACTTGCTAGGCTTTACCATCAAGCCACATTCCCCAGCCATTTTGAAATGTTGAGACAGGGTTTTCCTAAATTGTCCAGATTGGCTTTGAACCTTTTTCTTTTTTTTCGGTCTAGGATAAAATTCAGGACCTTGCGCTTGCGAGGCAGGTGCGGTGCCACCGAGCTAAATTCCCAGTCCTTGGCTTTGAACTTTTGATTCTCCTGCCTCAACTTCCCTCAGTGTTGGGATTACAGATGCATGCTACTATGCCTGGGTCCCATAAATTTTTTAAAAAGTAAATATCTATTTTACTGATGTAAAGTATTTGGGATGAATCAGATCAAGTAGTCTTAAATATCTGAAAAGAAAGGAAGGTAGCTGGTATTCAAGTGAATGTCAAATTGATTTCAAATTTATGGGCTACATCCATCATTATTTGAGTCAGCAATATCCTATGCATCTGCCTCATTCTCAGCTTACTTCCCACTAATTCATTCACTGCATACCCACTACATGCCAAATATCCACTAGATGCCCAATACTGCTCTAAGTCCTTAGTAACAGTGAATAGAACAGAAAAGAATCCCTGCTTTGGTTTTATCTGGGGGAGGGAATTAACTGTAAAAATAGTAAGTGAATTGTGTGGTGTATTATGTAGAAAACTGTAAAATATGACTTTGTATCTGCATTCTAGAGGTTCAAATTTCATCAAGAAAAAGGAAGATCAGAAGTGTTCTAGGATTGGTCTTTTTTTTTTTTTTTTCTGGTACTGGGGGTTGAACTCAGGACCTTGTGCTTGCAAGGCAGGCAGTGGCACCACTGAGCTAAATCCTTGGCCCAAGAGTTGGTCTTTTCATGAGACCACAGAGCAAGAGATTAAAAATTACACATGGTAGCACTAATGTAGTCATTTTGATATTGCAGCTTTCTGAGTTATTAGTATGAGAACTTTTTCTTCTAAATCTCATGCTTCATAACTGACTGTAAGTTCTCATGTTAACATAACTGACAACATTCTTCTTTCGAGACATTCCTGGCAGGTTGTGCACTTTTACACCCATAATGGACAATTTTTTTAAAAAGTGACCCAAAATATTTATTTTTAGCTTGTCACAGCTTCCTAGGGTATCATGGAATATGGCTTCACGTGTTTGTTCTTGTTTATTTGTTTCTGTCCTATAAAGCAAGAAAAATTTGAAAGGTATTTTTGGGGACTTACACATGTAAGTTAGAAAATTATAACAATAATAAAACATTTAGAAAATAATGAGCATTCTATTTTAAAATGAAGGCATGAAAAAGATATGCCATTTTATTTATTATTATTGTTTTTCAAAACAATAATAGATTTGCCACAACAATCTCTGGCTCACATTACTGAATTAAAAAATTTAACACATTTCAAAAATATCAAAAATATACTATGATAAGCCTTAGAAATGTAATATGACAACAACTACACTAAACTATAAGATGACATGCACTGGCAACAGAGAAATAATACCCTGTAGCATCTGGGAGAGGTACATGAGGTTAAGAATACAAGGAATTTACGTGGATTGATCACCAAAAGTGGACACTATGATGAATAATGATGGTAGATCCCAGACTCATGGAAATTTAAAGGTACATTGTAGTCTCCTCGAGTCTCGCAGATAGGTCTTTTTCTTGGTTTCTGTGCCAGGATCTTGCCCAAGGTCTGATACTCAACAGGTGCTTATTTAATCAACCACAGACACCAATTAGAGTGCGCAATTGACTGTGGGAGGTAGAACTGGAACTCATATGTTGAAAGCAGAAGAAATTCTTGAGGCTATTCTCTTCTAAAATTACTCAGTTGTCATGTTTTCCAGAAACTACTCTGAAATGACTAGAGATGTGAACTGCTTGTATAACTCCATTCTCTCCTACTATTTTGTTTTTCTGGGGTCTTTTAGGGTGGAATTTAGCAGGACTTAAATGTACAGCCAGTATGAAGAAAAATATTACCAGGAAACAGTTCTTATTAGTTAAATAGAAACACTATTTTAATACTCTACTGCTGGAAGGGAAGCACTCTTTTGCCCTAATTGTTTCCCTTGTCAATGATGTTACATTGAGACCTGAGGGTCCTTGCCTTACTCAGGTTCGACTAAAAACACTGGGCATATAGTCTTACTTCCAGAGACTCTTGAGTAACAACAGAGTGCTCTATTTAACTTTTTGTTAGCATACTTGTCTAATTTACCTTATGCCATTCTACCTATGCACTTGTACTCATACTTCCTTCCTAGGCCTGAATGGTCTCCAGATGTCCAAAGACCCTGCATTCATGATGCCTCTCGGTCACTCCAAGCCTGAGAGGTTATACTCGTCTCTAAACACTTCTCTTTTTGTGCTATACACTGGTCTATGTCTCTTATTTTATGCTACCAAGTACTTTGTTTTATTTCTTATCTTCTTCCTGTACTATTTGTAAGGTGTTTGGGTAGAGGGAATATGTCTTATATTTCTAACTGAGTAGTACATCTAACTTTCAAACAGTCAGAATTACCCAAAGATTTGTTTGGGTTTTCTTAGGTGTTGCTGAATTTCTGTCACTAGAAATGTTTCTGCCCAGGGTGGACAAGTATTGAACAAGAAGAATGTTGCACGAGTTCGATCCCCAGTACCAAAAAAAGAAAAAAAAAGAAGAAGAAGAATATTGCAAGAGGGGGATTAAAGCATCAAAATCTCTGTGATTTAAATGCAAATCCTTTAAAATCTTTGGTGATAGTAGGAAAAATATAGTAGGTGTTTCATGGATACTTGTGGTGAATCAGATGCCAATATTGGGCTCCAATATTTTGGCCACTATGATTATTTCCTGGGATTATTTGAGAACTAGGTAAAATGGCAATAGCTTCCATCATTAGGAGCACATGTCATGGGCCAGGCACTTTATATGTGTTGTCCCTTCTTGCATACACATATATATAGAATTTTACAGAGGCAAGAGAGATTAAGTACTTAGGTTAGGATTTCTCCAGACATTTATGACTCTTTTCCCAAACCCACAATGGCAGTGGGGAACTATCCGTCAATCTTGGTTTAGTATGGTGAGTTCCTCGCATTCATTGATGGCATATTGTATATGAAGTCCATGCAAAATATTGGTGTTATACAGATGAATGAGCTTGACTCTTACCTTTAAAATTCTCAATCACATGGCAACGACTGTAAAATAAATAGGTTATAATGAAACAATGTACTACACCGACAATAGGGAATATAGATGAACACAGTGACCAGTGACTGGCTGGGTTTCGGTTTCAGGTACTTTCCTGAAAACAGCTTCAGTATAGGAAAGGAGCAGGTCCTGGGAATGAAGGAGGTGTACGAAGACAGGAAAGCTGGACTATGTCAAGAGCAGGCTCCACATTGAGATTTCAGAGCAAATCTGTGTGATCTAGTGGGAGCTCCCTTTGCTACTCATCAAAAATTTTCTATCAATTTAGTATTAACTAATTTGCCAGGGATGCTATATATGGCATCAGAGTGAGCTACTGCAATTGACATGGAAAGGATGACTACTAGAGTAGTTTTGTGCCGCTAACATGTTTGAGAAATTTGCAGTATTACTATCACCACATATTCCTTTTATTTCGTATGTGTCACCTTCAGGTCCTGTGTTGTCTGGTAGGATTGCCTTTATTTACTTATGCACGCATGTATTTAGCTCGGGGCAGGATCCACCAACAGGCCCTTCCTGCCTGAGCACGTTGGAGACCTTTAGAAGCTGTGCAGACAGCAGCAACTTCAGCGTGAATCATTTCTTTCAATCAAGGACAGGCTGCCAAGAGGCCTTTGTAAAAGCAAAGGGGCGGGAGCAGCGAGGGCGTGGTCACAGTGGGAGTGGCGGGCGCGGCTAAGGTGAGCCAGCTGCGCTCACGCCCCGCAGAGCATTGATTGCACCTCCTGGTCTCCGAACTCCTTGCTTGTCTTCTTTCTTGAAGTGTTTTCCAGAATCCCCGTAACTCCAGGTAAGCAAAGTAAGTCTTGGGGCTGATGTTTTCCCTTTTTAGGCTACTTGAAGCTGGATCCGGGGGTGAACGCAGTGGACATAATTGGTCTTTTCGAGGGTAAGCTATAGTACTGCTGCCTCTTATTCCTCCAGTTGGGCTGCCGTTCCAACGCTCTGTGCTTTGGGCCTCAGGGATGCCAGATAGAAAGTAAAATCTCTCAACTACACAAGGTAAGAATATGAAGAAATGACACCACGGGTAGAAGGTGTTAGTGGTGATCGGACCCCAAAGTGACTCACCGAGGACATCCTCAGCCCTACCTTGAATTCGGGGTGAATTTGCCATCTTAGAAAGGGTGTGGTACGCCGCCCTGGGGAAAGTTGAGTAGTCGTGTGCCGGGCTCCTCTTTTCTGTGGGTACTGTGGGGTTGAAATTGAGACTTGTTTACTGCTCTACTTTTTGGCATTTTTAAGCATCAACTCAGTGTTCATCTACGGGCGACTGCTTTCTTCTAGATAGAAAACATTCTCCCTCCCTCTTTCAGGGTTTCAGAGTACTTTAAACAATTGCACATTTCAAATGTGGATTCTTGGACTTATAAACTGATTGGCTCATGGTAGTTTCTTTCTCATGAACTCTATATTTTTTTAAATGTATTCCTTTAAGCCTAACACATTTAGAAGCCATTTAACAGGCCAGGCTGCCCCATAGACTTGTAGTAGAATTCTCAAAACTGGGGGATCTTCACATATTTTTGCTCAGCTCTTTCATTTCATAGATGAGGCTCACAGAAGTGAAGTGGTATCGCGAAAGTCACCGCTTGAAAGTGGCATCACTGAAACAGAATTGGGCCTTGAAATGTGCAGCTCTGGGATGTTTCCATGACACTATGGATTTTCTTAGCATGGCTTTCACCCTCTGCATCTCTCAAGAGGTTTGCAATAAAATTAGGTGGACTCTGTGTCAGTCGCCATCAGTAAATGCAAGTTTTTGATGGGTTCTTTGATGGGTGGAGTACTGGGAGCTTCTCTGAGGATAAAATTCTCCATAGAAAATGAGTCAGCAGCTTTATATTTTTGCTTCCTAATGTCTTGAACTGTGGCACTTCCGTCTCTCTGAGCTGCAGACTGTCTTTAGAGCATGCAGTCTCAGCAATCTGGGCTCTTCTGGTGTGGTTTAATCTGGTACTCCTTTATTGTTAGGTAGCAGCCGGTCAAAGGGGTCAAGGCCAGGCTTCTAAAGAAACAGGAGCAGCTGTGATGTATCAGAGTATGTGAGCAAAGCAGAAACTCCCACACCACCAGAAATTAAAGCAATTAACCTTATTACTAATGGCTGCATTAGACTTTTTTGAGGTCAGAGCTCTTTTCACATACATTTACTCACTTAATCACTTGATTTAATCCTCATGATACTCTTTCACATTGTGGAAGCTACAAAAATCACATAGTTTCTTAATCTGGCTTTGATTTTTCTCCTTCCAGAGATGGAATGTGAGCCACATTCTATCATAGGTGTGAGTGGCAGTTTCTCAAGGTAGCATTTAAGGACTTTTTACACTAAACTCCTAACAGCAGCTTTTCAGCATGTCCCTCCCTCTGTAAAAAAAAGGCAGACTGGGATAAAGGATATCCACAATGCCCAGACACAGTGAAAATTTAGTTTTTAAGGAATGAAAAACTATGCACATAAAACATATTCACACACACACACACACACACACACACACGCCTGTGTACAGAAGGGTGTGGTAGATGGACTGTGTGTGGGGTGAAGATGTAGTGTTTGAATAAGAACATGCTTGAGAGTGAGAGGGGGATTGTCCTTAATGTCAGTACAAGAGATTTAAACCAGGACTGTCCCTGGCAAAGGGGGACATTTGATTGTTCTTTCCACAGGGCCTTCATCTCATCAAAAGGATCTGAAAACAAAAGATTCAAGGATCATTGGCTCAGATGCATTTCAAACTTAGAAAAATCTTCATACAGGGTACAGTGACAAACTTTAAATCCAGAGAAGTAAGCACCTTTCCCCCAGCCTAGTTCATGGGTCTCCATTTATTTGGAGGCAGCTGCAGTCTCTAAATTATATCATTTTTCTCTGGCCTACATTTTTGCATGTCTAAGTCCTAATCCCTCAGAGCTTGCCCCTAGGCCCTTAGTGTGACTTACTTAGATGTCTCTGTCTCTGAGATGTCATGGGCATTTCCAGTATGGGTTGGGTGTTCCTAAGGGTTCCCATGGTAACTTGTGCATGCTGTTAAAACACTCATCACACTTATCATGCCACTAGTTGATGGCCTGGTGGTGGGAGGAGCCATGCTGTGTTCATCTTCGATTTCTTAATGCCTGACTTACTGTCTGACACTTGGTAGTACTCAGTACTTATTAAATGAAAGCATTATAATATTAAGAGTTTGCAACTTAGGTGACAGAAAGAGAACCAGAGCTCTTTAAAATAGGAAAACCCTAAGGAAAAAGCTTTGTGTTGCTAAAAACAAAAACAAATACAAGTACAAAGAACTATGCAGGATATTTTGGTATCTTTTGTTGTTGTACTGGGGATTGAACCCAGGGGTGCTATCTAAGCCTATTATCAGTTTTTATTTTGAGACAGGGTCTGCCCAGGTTGGCTTGAATTTGTGATCCTCTTGGTTCAGCCTCCCAAGCAGGTAGGATAACAGGTATGTGCCACCATCCCTGGCATATTTTGATATCTTTAAAGGGGGTAATTCAGGACTCATAGTATTTCTGGAACTTGAGAGACTTCAGAGAGAGCAAATGCCAGCAAAGACACAATTGCCAGGAAAGACAGTGGTGGGTGTGGTGGGAAGTGCCAGGCTGGGGGCTAATGAATTCCATGTCTGGTTTTGCCACTTTCACTCCCTGTGTGGGTGGCCTGGGAGAATCACTTTAGTCTTTGTCCACCTCACTTTCCTCGTTTGCAAAATGAAAAGGTGGGGCCAAGACTAGATCCTACTTCAAGATCTTGCCCTACTTTAAAAGTTTATGATTTTAGAATATCTTTGGAAAAAATTGCAAAAAACAAACCACTTTAGTGAAAATTGTTAAAACGGCATTTGTATCACTACTTCCATATTCATTTCACTTTTCTCTGGTTAAAATAAAAATGTCTTCTAAGCATTGAAGTGACTTTGAAAGGTTTAGTGTTTTTTGTTAGAACTATGTACAGAATTATCTTTGTTAAAATTGTTACACAATTTTTATGAAAATGAAAGAAGCTGTCTCTGTAAGAATATTGTGAAAATATTTTAGTGATTTTTACACTTTGAACATAAACCACTGGACATATAAATGTATTTCTTTTTTTTTTGGTACCGGGGGATTGAACTCCAGACCTTGCACTTGTGAGGCAGGCAGTGGAACCACTGAGCTAAATCCCCGGCCCCTGAACATATAAATGTACTGTATAGAAATTGTTAATCTCTAGTGTTGTACTTGTAAAATTTTTTATAGTATTTGATCATCCAAAATGGTCTTTGTAGGAAATGTGACATTTTTTTCCCAGATGTGTATTGGTAACATTCCTGGGATTTGTTTAAATGCTTTGATCATTTTATAACACAGAGAAGTGGCAATTGGCTGTTGCCAAAGTCATATCTTCAGCTATTTCAGATCAGATCAGCTTTATAGTGGTTTTAGGTCACTTGGGACTGATCATGGAGCAGATGATCAGATTCACCATTATTATTTGATTAATATCATAATTGGTGATTGTTTACCACTACATTTTTCACATATAAGCTTTTCTTGATACCTTTGTCCAGTATCAAACAATGCTGCTGTAGTTGGGATCTTGGATATTAGGGCTGTATGTCTTTCCCCATGGCCAAGGAGAATTTTTTGAAAAAGGAGCCAATCAACATATGGACAAGAAGGCAGATGGGTTTAGACTAATGCCCCAAGGAATACTATGCAAAAGAAGGGACTCACTGAAAGTGGGCTTGGCTGGTGGCAGAGCCTCTGGATGTCAGATGGTAAAGATTTATATTCTCCAACAAAGATCTGGATCTAAGCTTTGTACTGCAGTACAGCCTTAACATATTGTGTAATTCATTGTATTAAAGCCAAATGAGCCTATAGTCATGGAGTCATTTAGGCTAAATGTATCTCAAAATGTTACAATGAATTATGTTTTGGTTGAACAAAATGGTAAAATGAATATATCCTTACACTTTTATTCACTTCCTGGATTCATTTCTAGGTATTTATAGTCAAACTCTCTTACCAGTTTAATTCATACTTTTAAACACAGTTTTTCTACACAAAAGAAAATTATTAAAATTGTGATTTATTATCAACTTATAAAATTACTCTGATTTTTCTTCTTAAGGGGTTGTAGATATATGCTAGGAGAAACTACTTAGGTTTGTTAAAGCACAATTTGTGTATTTTCATATATTGTTGTCAGTGTGATTAAACCTCAGGTTATAGAAACATTGAAAAATTTGAAGGGATATAAGTTTAGGTTCTCTGGTGAAGAAACTGCTCATTATTTCATGTTCATGTTGAGTTGTAGATATAGATAAACTCAGCCTGTCATTGTTAAGTTTGCTGCTGGAGGAAGCCAGGCTTCTTGTTCTGAAAGTCTCTTACCCACATTTCCCAAACCTCTTGTGAAGTTTCTTTTAATTTCCCCAGTGAGGAGTGCTCTGTTTGAAACATTCCCAGCTTGCCATTTTTGTCTCAGGACACTGCTGGTCTCAATACATACCTAGTGCTGGTCAGCTTCCACTGGGGTATGATGTTATGTTTGGGCCAGACCCTGCCCCAAGAGGAGAAGGAGGAGCCTGTGTGGACTTAAAGGACAGCACAATGCCGAGTGTCTACCAGGACTTTAGGTTACCTGTGATAGATTTGTAACAGGCACACTATCCAATGCACACTTGCTGTACTTATCAGTGGCATCAGAAGAAGGAGGCAGTCAGTGGGATGATGTGAGCATGAAGAGGGCCAACAAAACATCATCATCATCGTCACCATTATTGTTATTATCATTATTTTGTTAATAAACTTCCTTTTTCAGACTTTACAGTATAATATTTTGAATTTGAGCTACGCACAAGCCATATGTCCTGTAAAAGAGAATTCGGAAGAGGTATTTGAAGATCGGTGGCCCACTCCTTTATCTTTGCGTTTTGAGTTTCTGTCCAGTATAAGATACAAGCTATAATTGTATTCATGGCTTTGAGCCTCACACACCTGTGGGTCCTGGCTAAGAAAGCCCTGAATAATGAGGCGTTCTCTCTGACACCAGCGTGTGTGTCCTGCCTGAAGAGATTCAGTGTCCTGCTTACTCTCCATGTCTGTGTGCACACAAATCATCTTCCCTCTTTGGGTGTTCGCCTCTTTATCTTTTCTTCTGTTCTGGTAAGGACATTCATCATTGGATTAAGGCCTGCCTAACTCCAGTCTGACCTCCTTTAGCTAATTCAGTCTCAAAGAGCTTACAGCACATTCACAGGGACTACAGATTAGGGGTGCAACATGTCTTCTTGGAGGACACAATTTAACAAGTATTCAGTTGAATCACACAACTGCAATTTTACTGTGTGTGATTTACAAAAATGACAACTTTGTATGATTTAACCAAAATCCTAATCAAAACAATATGTGATAAATAAATTCAACTGATTTTATTCTGTGCTGTCAATGGCTCTGACCACTTGCTGAGGGAGAGGAGCGGTGGGTGGGCTTCAGACCAAGGCCATTGTGGTCGAGCAGGCCTGAATTTGGAGATACTGAGCAGTTCTGCGCACATAGACCTCATATGCTTTAGGACATCTGCCCACAAGTTTCCCCACAACTAGCTTTCTTTTTGAATTTATGGAAAATTCCTTCTAGTCTTCTACCCACGATCATTACTTTGTTAAAATAGAATTCTTACTGTGTTGGCAGAATGCAATGGAGAACATTGTAAATATATCTTAGAAATAACCCTTCCTTTGTCCTTGGTTCCAGGCCCACAATGGATGCCCTGCAGTTGGCAAATTCAGCTTTTGCTGTTGATCTATTCAAACAACTGTGTGACAAGGAACCAGCGGGCAATGTCCTTTTCTCTCCAATCTGTCTCTCTACCTCTCTGTCGCTTGCTCAAGTAGGTGCCAAAGGTGGCACAGCAAATGAAATTGGACAGGTAAGCCCCTCATGTCTTGTTTTGACTTTAGTCAAATACAGTTATTAGGATCCATAGGAGGGGCCTGGAAAGGAAATGGAGTCTCTGGTCAGCATTGCTCAAGATTGAGAGTTGTGCCAATTCTAAGACTCTCTTATGTTTTTAGTACTGGGAATTGAACCCAGGAGCTCTCTACCACTGAGGTAGCTTTATTTTTATTTTTGAGACAGGTTCTCATTAAATTGCCTTGAACTTTCAATCCAATGGCCTCAGCCTTCTGAGTAGCTAAGATTACAGGCACAAACCACTGAGCCCAGCTCTCTTAATGTATTTTTCAATGAAAAAGCTCATTGATGTGTCCTGCATCCTATGTTCAGAATAGGTGCAGGTTGTGATGGAGAACCTGGGGCTCTGGTAGGGAATAACAGGTGTTCCATTCACTAGTGGGCTTCGCCAAGTCACCTGACACTGCTTACCTGTTATATTATAAAGATCAGTGGCGATGGTTTTTATCAAATATTCCACTACAAATACCCTGAGTGTGAATGTAGACCTCATCCCTACCCCATGTTCAGACATAGAGCAAAGCAGTCCATCTTGGCACACAATTTACTTATAGTATCATGCTTTATTTTACTATTCACGGTCAATTGCATTTTACCTAGACTATATATACACTTATTTTAATAGAGAGATAACATTTTAAATTATCTACCTTCACCTATTATAGATAAATAAGCTGAATGGTGTTTTTATATTTTTATAATACTCTCAAGGGGCTTGGATTCTCATTGAGAAGCATGGACTAACATGATACCCCCCCCCCCCCACATTCAGAGATAAACATATGTAGATGTTTTAGAGTTTCCTTTTGGCAATGGTTGATTGTCTAGCTTTTAAAGTTCTCAGACTTTAAAATGAGATGATTTTCCTGACTGTCACATTTTAAGTCCCCATGTACTTGTAGGTGGTAGGTAAGCATCCTCCTATTTCCATGCCACTATTATTACATTGATTGCTCTTAGTTCTTTCCATAAGCTCATAAGCATTTAAAAAGAGAACACCTTGTATGCATAAATGTCCAGAAGTTATGACCAACAAAATGTTATTTAGGTTAGGATGAATTTACAACTGAAATTGAGTGGGGCTTGAAAAAGAAACTTCAGACTTGGGAAGAAGAAACTTCAGTCCTGTCTCCAATTCGAGAAGGACCAAGAAGAGAGCTTCTTTGCTGGTGGTACATGCCTGTAATTCCAGCTTGTCAGGATGCTGAGGCAGGAGGATCACACAGTTGCCCTGTCTGGGCAATTTAGCAAGAGCTTGTCTCAAAACAAAAGCATAAAAAGTATTGGGCATAAAGCTCAGAGGCAGAGTGTTTGCCTAACAAGTGTGAGAGGTCCTGGGTTTAATTCCCAGTATAAAAAAAAGGAAAGGAAAAGAATAGGAAAGAGAAAAGTGAAAGAAAGAAAGAAAGAAAAAAGAAAGAAAGAAAGACAGACAGACAGACAGACCCAAACCAAACCAAATAGCCTCCTGGTAGTGGACCTCTTTCTCACCAGTAATAAAGAAAAATCTCAGTACATGCAACTGGCCCCCTAGCAATAGTTACTTGGGCTGTTTAATTTTCTGGCCTTGTTTACCCATCATTAGGGATGAGAGTCATTCCCTGGCTTAGAAGAGCCAATTTGACACTGCAGTGCTGAGGCTGTATGACTCGCTGGCACAGTGTGCAGGTTTGGTGGCATGACCTGGGGCATGGCCATTATGAGCTATGGAGTGAGGACAGTACCTTTTCATGCTGACTTCATAGTTTGCAGTACCACAAAGGAGAGGAGATGCTGGAGTGTTGGTTGGAGCAAAAGAAAAGGAGCAAAAGCCTTCAAATGACAGCATCCCAATTTTAGATGGCTTAGAATATTACTAGAGGAGTAATAACCATAGTCTATATAATATTTTTGATATTATCATTATCATAGGATAATTTAGGTGTTTTAAATATACTTCATTCTCAGAATAACTCAAACAGTAAGTATTCCCAGTCCATTTTACAGAAAGGCAAGTGAGGCTCTGGAGAGTTAGAGAAGACGGCATTTCTAGCAGGTGCAAAAAGCAAGGCCATCTGACTCAGCCCACCCACGGCTCATCACTTATCATAGCTTCCTGTTAGAAGTGGTTCATCAGTTCCTTTGGCACTTGGTAAAGCATATAAGGAGACCAGACTCTGTCTAGAGGTACCTCTGTCCTGGAATCTGATACCAGTCTAGTGATTATCGCTCTCAGTGTTAATTTCTCTTTTCTGGTCTCTAAATTCAACAGAAAGTATAATCTAGCTTCATTTTCCCCCCCAGTTAGGAATTCCTTCTGCATGAACTTCAGAAGCATCATTCTGAAGAAGGGGCAAAATTTCCCCATAGCCAACCAGGAAGAGATCTTTATGGTAGTGTTTCTCAACTGGGGACAATTTTGTCCCACCCCTCCTACCCTGGGGACATCTGGCAATATCTGGAAACTTTTTGATGGTCACGAATAAGGGTAGAAGGATACTGGCATCTAGGACAGGGATGCTGCTAAGAAATCTGCAGCCCTAATAGGAATTATCCAGACCGAAATGTCCACAGTGCTGGGAGTCAGAAGTCTTGCTTTATGGAACACCTGAGCAGGGAAATACTATGTGCCCCAAGGAGACGGATGTCACCAATTGTCCACTTCAGCAGGAATAGGTAATGCTTTTTGGTAATGGACTTTTTCTCTTGACAGGTCCTGCATTTTGAAAATGTCAAAGATGTGCCCTTTGGATTTCAAACCGTTACCTCGGATGTAAATAAACTTAGTTCCTTTTACTCTTTGAAACTAATCAAGCGGCTCTACCTAGACAAATCTCTGAACCCTTCTACAGTAAGTTTTCAAAAAGCTATTGGGAAGATTTAACTTTTTACTGAGTGGCATTTCACATCTTTAGACCTATCTCCCTTCTTTTCCAGTGAAATTCATTTCTAGGATGTTCATTTATGATCTAAGACTTCTTCAAATAAATCAGTCTTAGTGAAGAGGTTGAATGTAGTGGGACTTGACAGCAGTCACTTCTAATATAAAACATAGAGAACCACCGGGGCTTCCCCTTTCCTTCTCAAACATGCATGAATCTCACTCTTCCTCCTATTTCCCTGTGGAGAGCATGGAGAATGAGGTAATTAACTGTCTAAAAAATGTATCTCTATAGACAAGAAATACAAGACAACTCACGTTTTAAACTTTCTCCTTAAATAGCAAGGCATATGGCCTGACAGTGCTTTAAGCCCTCCATCTCATTTATTTATGTACGCAATATGCTCCAAATGTTCCTCAAAGTCAATAAGAAAAATAACCTGAATTAGCAGTTTTCATCAGTCACAGTTTTGTTTGTTTCAATAGGCTGGTCAGATAGTGTCTATACAAAGTAGCTCCAGTTCTTATGGGCCAGCCATTTCTTGAAACAATCATATAAAGAAGATTGTCATCCCCTTACCTTGGACCTCAAGGTATATTATAATATTTTTTAAGCCTCTGTTTGAAATACATAGTCAAAATTTTAGATTACGGGGAGGTTCCCACTCTACTTCAGTATTACAGAATTGATTCAGTTCCTATGGATAGTCATAGATTCAAACTTCCTAAATTTAAAAGCTTCTACTGTCTAAATATTTGACCATTACATTACAACTTTCTGTAGTAGGTATTTGTTCTTGTGGTTGAGATCTTTTGAGGAGACAAGTCACTAGATATTGTTATTTTATTCTTGTGGTTTGAAGACACATATATACAACCATTTTTGTTTCAATAATCACCTGGGAAATTAAACAAAATTGAAATGTGAGTTGGTGCTGGGCAGGGAAAAAATTAAAATGCTCCCTAGGTGATCCTTAAGGAGATGCCTAGTATGTTTTTGTTGCAGTGAGGCCAATGGAGGCCCTCATTTTGCAGAGGTTTTCTGATATTCTTAGGTGACACTGACTCTCTCAGTGAAAGGCAACAGTCAGTTCCACGGTTGGATTGCAATTAAGTGAAGCTAACTTAATTGGTTAGGGTTGTAGATGCTCTGGAGAAATTTAAGATGCCCTGTGCTTATGAGCAAGTGGCATGACATTCAAGTTATGTGTTGTGTGGTTGAACTTCCAATTCAACATTTGGAATTATTTCATACAAACTAGGTGTTTGCAGTTTTTTTTTTTTATTTTGACTGCTTTCCATCACTTTGTTGGTGCTTAGCACCTGAAAATTTATTAGGTAATAGTACAAACAACTGTTGTTTGAGAAGGGACATCTACATCAGAACTATCTGATGTTTGATAAAAAGGGCGAATTCTAGGCCTCAGTTCTCTCTCTCTTTTTAATTAAAAATCATTACAGTAAGACACATTGCAATTAACCCCCCTTAAGATACTCCCCCTTGTTTTAATCTCATAGTTGTTACCAATTTCTGGAGAGTTCTGGAAGTCTTCTTTCTCCCTCCCTCCCTTCTGCCTTCCCTTCCTTCCTTCATCCTACCTTCCATTTGTTCTTCCTTTCTTAGTATGAGTTTGTGATACATAATTAATACATTCATCCTGAGGAGTTGCTACATGTACATATCCCATTTTAATCCTTCAGATCTTCTGAGCCAAAATCAATGCAGATGGGATTTAGGGTTTGGGAAGCTTTAGAGTTAAACCACTGCTATATTCTCTATGGTGCTATGTTTCAAACTTAATGTGTGGATGAAATTCCTAGAAATCTTAATAAAATGCAGTCTGATTCAGTAAGCCTGGGGTGGGGCCTAAAAGTCTTCATTTCTTACAAGGTTTCAAGAGATACTGTGGCATTTGATTCTTGGACTGTACATTGAGTGTCAATGATTTATAGAATATTTCAATAAGGATAGGAAATTTCTGCAGATGGTTCTTCTTTAAGTACATTTTTCTTTTTTATCTTTATCTGTCTCTCTGTATCTATCTGTTTTTGAAATTGGAATACCTCTTATAGTATTGTACATTTAACAGAGTATTTCTTTTATTTTCCTGAAAGTTAATACTAAATTGATGGAGGCATCTAAGAGTTGACAATGTCTTATAGTTGAAGAAGTAAAATATTGAATGCAAAGAAAAATTCTCTCATTTATACATGAGGTTTCAGTTTATATTGTGTTACTAGTTCTTAAAGTGAATCCATGACAATAGATTTTTAAAAATCCTTTTGTTAAAACAGTGTAACAATATAATAGCTTGATTATAGCTCTTAAGTACTCTGTGACTTTATGAACTATATAATTTTCAGGAATTCCTCAGCTCTACAAAGAGACCATATGCAAAAGAATTGGAAACTGTTGATTTCAAAGATAAACTGGATGAGACGAAAGTTCAGATCAACAACTCCATTAAGGATCTCACAGATGGCAAGTATCCTTTCCTTGTTCTGCTATAAATGACAAAGTAAACAGAGCCTCCCTTCTCATGAATCCTTGCTCCAAGCATAAGAAAACTGATCATCTGGAGATTCATTGGGTAGTATTTTTAGGACACAAGCTAAATTCTTGCCCATCCATTCATGTCAACAACTTGAATTTCTGGGCATTTCTTGTATGGCCTCATCACATGACAGAAATTGCTGGTGCTTCAGTTTCAGTTTACTTTGCCTTGCTCTCCCAGGCCCAGGAAGAGCCCCAGCTGGGCCTCAAACAGCATGGCTTTTGGCAAATCATGAGGCCAGTTTTTAACTCTGGAAATGGAAGAATTGGTATAATTTGATGATACTTGAGGCTCTTTCCAGCTCAGAAAGTCTACAGATTTATTAAAGGAAAAGGGTTTTAGGCAAATAAAAATATAGGAAAACAAAATAAAACAAAACAGTAGTGGAAGCTTGTCTTTGGTCTCCCAACTCCTCATGCCAGCTTGCTCCCTGAGAATCTAGAGGTTCCAGATATCTACTCATTCCTGCCTCCTGCTCAGTGCTGCTCCTGCTATCTTCTCCCTCCATTAAAATTCCCTGTGAGTCATCTGCTTTGATTGAAAGGAATTGGAACTAAATTGATTTGGATTCTAATCAGTGACTACGCTTCCTTTTTTGGGGGATATATTTATGATAATTATACATCTAGGTACTTGCTTGGGAAATAAACAATCCTGAATGACTGAAGGATATGGTAGTCGCTGCTGGCTTTGGAGGGATATACTTCTGGGGTAAGGGAGACACTTCCTGTGAGAAAGAGCAGAGCTCACAGTGACATTGACTCATGAGTCTTAAAGTCCACATATAACAACATGGAATGAACAGGAACTTCAGTGTTGTTTAGGAGCTAATTTCAAATCCAGGCATTGCCAATTATGAACAATGATAATTGGAGATGGAACCTCAATTTATCAAACTGTAAAATGGGGTATGTGCTACATAATTTTTACCAGGTTGGGAGTATAAAAGTAAATACTATATACCAACAAACGGCAGCCATAGATATATTTGCAGGTACATACATGAATACGTACATACAAATCTGTGCCTATATTATTGAAATATAGCTTCTTTGGGTCTGTCTGAAAATAAAACTTTGATGTATATACTACCAGGATGAGGACAATTTAAAAAATTAAAAGTATGAAGCAGCTCCTGCTTACGTTGCTGTTAGAGTTTAGCTTTTAGAATTTCTAAGTAATTATATTTTTCCTCAAAAGTTTTTTTTTAATCTCTCTCTTTTTTTTTTTTTTTGGTATTGGAGGTCGAACTTGGGTCCTTGAGCTTGTAAGGCAGGTGGCGAAACCACTGAGCTAAATACCTGGCCCCTTTTTAAAATCTGAATACACATAAGGTTTTGGACTAGAGAATATAAGTTAGTGAAAGACTTCTGAATTCAGGAATAGAAGCTCAGAATTTAAGTTACTGGTGCCCATACTTCTTTGTTCTTCAAGTTTCTTCAATAATGATGTTTCATATTTGACACATATAGCATGGGTGAACCAGTTACATAATTTGTGGTGCTCAGCGGAAAAATAAAAATGTGGGCACTTATTAAAAATTTTATTAACATTTTTAAGATGGTGACAATAGAACATTAAACCAAATGCAGGGCTCTTTGCATATAGGTCCAGGTCTATGAGATGGCCTTGAGAGTTGATGTAAAGATCAGAGAGTAGGGAAATGAAAATTCTTTGAAAAACGTCAGGTGCTATTCAAATACAAGGAGATCTTTTTATTAAGGGATTATCACTGTTGAATTCTAGCTTGTGGTGATTACAGTTGACCTTGAGGCAAGTGACCTGCCTTCAAGGAGCAGGCAGGAGTGCGGGGCCTTCAGGTAAAGGGAAGTATTATCTTGGTATTGGACATACTTTCCAGCTGAGTGAACTACGACAGCTCCTTGATCTCTATGAGCCCAACTATAAAATGGGAATAATCTTTGCCATGTAGGACCATTGTGAGAAAAATGAGAAAGTGTAGGTGAAAATGCTTAGCACAGAGCTAGATGTATGTAAAGCCACAGACCATGTATTTTTGCTTGGGAGCACAGGCTTTGAGTCAAAAAGACCTGACTTCCAATCTTAGACCTCTTTGGTAAGTCTGATGTTGTCAGGCAGAAGGGGAGAAAGTCCTGAAATCTTATGGTCTGTGGTAATGGGCCATATATGCTGTGACTCTAAGTGGCTCATGCCCAGTGAATGCACATGCATGCATATATCAAAATAGTTTGGAAGAGAACTCTGGTATTTCTGGTTTTCTTAAATTGTTTGCAGGCCACTTTGAGAACATTTTATCTGACAACAGCGTGAGTGATCAGACCAAAATCCTTGTGGTTAATGCTGCCTACTTTGTTGGGAAGTGGATGAAGAAATTTCCTGAATCAGAAACAAAGGAATGCCCTTTCAGAGTCAGCAAGGTATGTGGCAGCATGCAGCAGGGAAAAGATTGCTACTCTAATTCTTAATTAATTAATTTTAAACTTTTTTATTAGTACGTGTTTGCAGTACATAATGATCGCATTTATCATAGGGAGTTTGTACATGTCTATAATACATCTTCATTCTTTTTTTACCCCCTTCCCCTCCTATCCTTACCTGCTTCCTTCAACTCTTGTTTCTGTTCCCATTTGCAAAAGCTCTATTTCCATTTTGTTGCCATAATTTCTTAGATCTGGAGCAGGGTGCATCTGCTTGATGAGCCCTACTCTAAATTGAAGAAATCATGGCATCAGAAGGGGTGCAGGAATTCATTCTGATGAGGAAGATGAGGGCACAGGAGCCTTTAGCAAGAAATGAAAAGAAAACAAACCAAGTCCTGCTATCAGAGGCCTTTGGATTGTTATGAAACTTTGATCATTTAGGCATTTTGCTCCTGATTAACTTTATAATCTCACTTTTTTACCCATTGATAGGGAAGCACATGGTTTGGTTATTTGTTTTGATTTTGTATTTCTTTTGCCATGCTGGGCATTGAATGCAGAGCCTCAAAAATGCTAGGCAAATGCTTCAGCACTGATTTTGATATTTTAATTTATAATTTGTAAGATACTTTGAGGCATTTATTGGCTGTGAAGAAAAAAGCTTACTCACCTGCATCATGGGGAGTCATTACAGGGGAGAATTAGAAATGTGTTTTGCAGGACAGTCTCATTGATGTGAATATTTAAAAAATAAGTGGTGGACATAGGTAAAGTACCTCTTCTATAAATTAAACCAAAAGAGTGAGTTTGGAGAATTGGCCCATTTTATTGGAGAATCTAGGAAAATCCAGGGATCCATATGAAGATGTGATGTGTTCTCCACTGATGTGATGGCTTCTGTTAAGAACTGAGACCTTGGGCTGGGGATTTAGCTCAGTGGTTCCGGTGCCTGCCTTGCAAGCACAAGGTCCCAAGTTCGATCCCCGGTACCAAAAAAAAAAACAAAACAAAAAATAAGAACTGAGACCTATAGCAATCTGTTACTTGAAGAAAGCTAATTTACCTGGTAGCTTCTATGCTTCAATTCAAATTTTCAAGTTTCTCTCAGAACCTAAAGTGCCTGGGATCAATCACTTATTTTTGTCAAATACAGTAGAACCTTTTTAATGCCAGAATCTGGAGGGGGAAAAAGACCTTCAAGATACAAAGTTAGAGGGACTGGCTTCCATGCCTCTTTCTTTTTTCTCCAAATAATCTTTATTCATACTATGTCTACTTCCAAATTTACTTTTCCCAGCAAAGTCTGTTCTTCTTGACTGTGCCCTCCACTAGTGCATGGGCTTTATGACAGCAGGGACCATGCCTTATTCACCCTAATGTGTACAGTTCCTGGCTACATCCCTGACACCCACTAGGTGCCTGCAAATCTGTTGGATGAATGACCCGTCAATCCTCAAAGGTCAGTTTGATCAAACAGTCCATGTCAGATAAAACCGGACTGGCCTTTATTGGGCATTTTCACAGGGAGAGGACAACAATTGCTGTTATTGCTCCTTACCTACTCAGAGTATCGCTGAGTGGTAGAGGGGTGAAAGGGTAACTCCTTCCAGGCCCTCTGGCTGAGCTTGGCTTCCTTTCTTAAAGCTGACTGCTAGGGACAGGACTGGCCCTGTGCACCACGTGTGTATCTGAGACACTAGGGACACACATTAGGTTCTTCAGAGTCAGAGTTTTTTCACATATAGTTTCTCGAGTTTTTAAGAGTGGCCTTTTCATTTTCTTAGTGTTGCCTTTCAAGGAACTGAAATGGAGCATGAATTTACAGCCTGCCAGTGGTGTCCAACCTGCAGCTCAGCTTATCCCTCTTTTTAAAAATGTTGTAATTAAAAATATAAAAAATAAAAAGTTTGATTACTTATATACATTAACTGTATTATATGTGGCTCAAAACAATTCCTCTTCACTAAAAAAAAATAAATAAAATAAAACGAGGAACGAAAGAAAGAAAAGGTAGGCTGCATGCTGGTCACAGCTGGGTGAGTCAGGGAGGAGTGAGGCCTGTCACAGAGGCCTCTCTGTCTCATTTGGTCAGACCTTGGCTTTCCTTCCTGACAGGGGCGCCTAAATATGTTTATGTGAAATGTGAAACATGTTGCCAATGGCACCTCACAGTAAGTCCTTAGGGCCACATTAGTGAGTCCTGGACTTTTGTGTTAATCACACTAAAGTTTCTAGTTTTTACACTTAAGAAAGCGTTAATGAGTGTCTTTTGGGAATAGAGGAGGAATGTGTGCAATTCCTTTGTTCCTGCAATTTAATCATAAAGCCAGGTTATATCAGACCTTAGAAACTGAAGACTCTCTGAACAGAATTAAGAGTTTGACCTGTCATTAATCTTTCAATGCTTCATTTAATTACACAATAAAACCCTCCTCAAGGCTGCGTGGGGATGCATCCTCCTTTTGAATGCGGATGCTATGACTTTTCTTTTGTTTCCTTTGAATGGGTTTGTCAACCCTTGGACTTTTTGAGTGATTACTAAACTTTTCACAAGTCCTGTGGTGTCACCTTTAAGGACTAGACTAAATTGGCAAAAGTTTAGTACATATATATTAAAAGTTTAGTAATACAGATACATATATATTTATATATATGCACACACACAGGTTTAGTATCCCTTATTTTAAATGCTTGGGACCATAAGTGTTTTTCAGATTTTTGGAATAATTGCAGGTGCATAGTGAGATATGTTTGGGATGGGACTTAGGTATAAACAGATAATTCATTTCTGTTTCATATACACCTTACACACATAGTTTGAAGGTAATTTTATGTAATATTTTTAGTGCCCTGCTTTGTGATCTGTCACATATTGTACTGTATTTACTAGGATAGTGTTTAGTTCTGTTTTCAGGGGGTGAACCTCAATTGATATTTCAGGAAATGGGGTTATTGTGCTCGTATTCACTTGCTGATAAGTTGATGACAGCTTTTGGAGGCCACCATGCTATGTATATTCAGAAATGATTAGGAATCTAACCTGAAGGAGATGTTTAGACAAATCTATATCTTTTTTAGAAGAAATAAATGGAAAAATTATCAGTTAATTTAAAAAAATTATGTTTTGCTATCATAGTTCCATTTCTGGTTACACATAGAATTGAAATGTTCAATTAGTTATCATCCAACTATTCAGTGAACAATTACTCTATGTTGAAATATACCAGGAAGATAAGATATGGTTTCTGCCTTGACTATATTTTAATTAAGGTGGAAAGACAAATATTTCAAATAAATAAATATTCATATAAATAATTATTTCCAGTACTGTGGCAAGTGTTCACGTAGAGGTATAGGCAAAAAGTAAAATAAATACAGTGTAGGTCTGCTTGAGAGAAGTGTTGGGTGAGGTTCAGCTTCCCAGGTAAAAGTTTTACTGTAATATCTCTGCAGATCTGATCTGAATCTTAAAATCACTCCCTGAAGAGATTCAGTTAACAGGTGTATATCCCATAGGACATCAATAAGTAATAATAAGTTACATTAAATTACCTCAATCATTTGCTTCTTAGTAAAAATCAGTTTTCCCTTAGAAAGCCAGATACCTCTGTGGAAGAGACAGGGTTAGGGAAGAAGCCTGGGGTGGTCCCTGGAGATAAACACATTAGTAATAAGACTATTTCATGGGCTCTGTTGCAAAAGGAGCATGGAGTGTGTTGGAACTGTAAGAGACCGAGAAAAATTTTTGAAAGCATTCTTATTTTTTAAAATCATAAAATATATCAAGCAGACAGAAACTCATAGAGTATAATAAACAAATACCCATGTACCTTTTGGCCAACTTCGACAGCTTAATATTTTTTCTTACTTATTTTAGATAGTTTAAAGGAAAAACATAACAATAGCTGCTTTGCCTATATCTTGCCACTACCTCTCACCCTCCCGCTGTGGTGCTCTCTCCCTTCCTCCCCCACTCTGACCGTTCTGAATTTTCTAATTTTCTTATTCAATTGATGCAGAAGGTGTGTCTTAGAGGTCAAGTGAGTTGTTCAAGGTTGCAGGAACAGATGCATTTGGGTCTAAAACTCAGATTCTAATTTCCAATCCAGGCTCCTCATCAGTTCAGATTAGTGCAGGGGTCAGTACTGGATGGAGCAGGTGATACAAACCAAAGGCAAACAGAGGAAAACCAAATATGGTTTTGTCCTGACACATGCTAAGATTGTAAAGCATTTTTTAAGGAAGCACTATGTAAATGGATGTGTGAGTTGGCACTATAATTTACTTTCAAGTTAGTTTCACTAGGAATAGAGATCTCATATTATGTGTCTATAAAGATTAATTTAAACTTTGCCTATATTTTTCAGTCCTTCTGTCTTATTTTTAATGTTTTGTATCTGCAAGTATAGTACTATATGTAGTTGCTATAATGTATAATATGTGGAATTATAAAGCATGTGAATAACTTTTCAAAGAAAGTCATAAACTTCACAGGACTCTCTAATTGCTCAAGTGCATCATGGTTTGGGTCATAGTGGATGAATCATAAGCCATAATGATTTGAAACCATAGATCAAATTTGTGTATCTATAAGTCTATCTGTATATTTATGTATGTTTAGGTATATTTTTCTATGCATGTATATGTATGTATATTTGCATTTGTGTGTATGAGTGTAGTGTACATGTGTATGTATATATATAATATATATATATTATATATATATATATAATATATATATATTTATGTTTGTGTAAATTGAAAACTGTCCAAATTCTTTTCCTTTAATAGGCAGACACCAAACCAGTGCAAATGATGAATATGGAGGCCACATTCTGTATGGGGAACATTGATGATATCAATTGTAAGATCATAGAGCTCCCTTTTCAAAACAAGCACCTCAGCATGCTCATTCTGCTCCCCAAGGATGTAGAGGATGAATCCACGGGCTTGGAGAAGGTAAGAAAGGAAGCAGGTGCCCAACACCCAGGAGCTCTGTCATGGCAAAGAGGTGTGTGGACAGTGCTGTGTGGGCTGTGAGATGTGGGTGCAGCTCTGCTTCATTTGGCACTGGCTCAGCATCTCCAAGGCCTTCGGGGTCCTATCTGGGCCTTTTGGTTTTAATATGAAAACAGCCCACATTTATTTGGCAATTATGATAGTGCTAAATTCCAGACATGCACTGTCTCATTTAATTCTTAACAGTCTAATGAACTAGAAACTATTACCATACTCTTATTTACCAACAAGGGAACTGACGCATATAGGGGTAGACAAGTAGTCCTTGGTCACATTACTAGTTAGTGATATGTAGACTCAGGGTTTGAGCTTGGAAAGTTGGAGTCATGTTCCTAACTCTTGGGTGTTATGCTTCCCTCATCTCCTCAGCAGGAAGGCCACAAAGTGCTATGCACCACTCAGCCTACTATCTTGAGAACAGGAACTCTTAAAGAAGAAAACATTAATAGATTTTTTTTTTTCAGCACAGGAGATTGAACTGATGTCCTATATACTGAGCTACACCTTCATGCATTGTACATTTTTTATTTTGAGACAGGGTCTCACTAAATTGCTGAATGGCCCAGGCTGTCTAAAACTTGTGATTCTCCTGCCTCAGCCTCCTAAAGTGCTGGGATTACAGTTATTCCCTGACTCTCCAGGGGATGGACAAATTCAGTCCTCTTCTTACCTATTACTTTAGTTATCATTACGCTGTAGCCATCACTTTATTAGCTGAGTCATAATTTTTGTTCTTATCTTCTTTGATGTAGTATTCTCTCCCTTTTACTCCATTTCGTATCGTAATCTTGCAGTATTCAGCTGTCTTAGGTTTTACCTTACTTAAAATATCCTCATTCAATTGTCAATTATTTTCTTCTGAAAGTATAGAACTAAAGAAAATGATCTTTTTAGTCTTAGAAAGAAATATTTAAGCATATTATTGTAACAGTTTATTATGGCTGTCATAAGAAAGTGCCACAACTGGATGGCTTACACAACAGATGTTTATTTTCTTGTACTTCTGGAGACTGCAAATCCAAGATCAAGGAGTACTGATCCTTTGAGAGCTGGAGGGAGAATCTGCTGTAGGCCTCTCTCCTAGCTTCTTGTGGCTTACTGATAATCTTTTTTTTTTTTTTTTTTGTAGTGGTTATTGAACCTCCCTCATACTTGTTAAGCAAGTGCTCTACCACTGAATTGCATCCCCAGCCCTTTTAAGAATAAGTTTTTTTTTTTTTAAGACAGAGTCTCACTAAGGTGCACAGGCTGGCTTTGAATTTCCAATTCTCCTGTCTCAGCCTCCTGAGTAGCTAGCATTAGAGGTGTGTACTACTGTTCCCAGCTTACTGGCAAGCTTTGGTGTACCTTAGCTTGTAGATACTTCACTCTGATTTCTGCCTTCATCTTCATTTGGCTTTGACCTTGTGCTTATTCCTGTCTCTGTGTCCAAATTCCTCCTTTTAATAAAGACACTAGTCTTATTGGGTTAGGGTCCACCCTAAGGAACTTGTCTTAATTTTACCTGTATTGATTTATATTCAAGCAACGTCACATGCTGAGGTTCGTCAATTAGAGCTTCAACATATGAATTAGGGGACATGGTTCAACCCTTAGCACATACACAATGGAGGCAAAATTTTGTTTCCCCTCCAACATAATCTTTTTGAGTTACCAATGAATTTTCTCCCCTTTCTACTCTTAGGTGGTAAATGGACCAGAGAATGTATTTGTTGGCCCCTTGAAACTCTGGTTCTTATGAAAATCTTTTGGTCCTAATAATCTGTCTTAAATGAGAGAATATTGATTGAAAAGTAGTTAGAATAGATTAGCATGAGAATACAATTATTCCTGCCTAATCAGTTCGTGACCTTGCCATGCTCCTCAGCTTTACTGGTTTCATATGAGTGTTATTAGTGCTGTTTTTCTCTGTGGTAATATCAGTTATGGGTGTATTTGAATTATTCTTGGGTGCACTTGTTTTTCTTTTAACCAGTGGGAAGATTGGAGAGTGAGAAGCAATTTAAGATTTGGTTTATAAAGAATTTTATGACCAACTCATTTATGCTTTGTTGCATGTCTCATTTTTAAAAAACAATGGGAATGGATGAATTTAACATCTATGAGCTTACAGAATGACTTAGAGATAGTCCAAATTCCCATTTCTAAAATAAAATAACTTTACTTTAATTTGATTTATTAAAATTTGGAATGTCCAGAATATGGGATTTGCTTGTGGAGAAATTATAAGGGCTCAGGAAATATGTATAAAAACCTTTCTAATTTTATCTTCATTTTCTTATTGTATATGCAGTATCATAATCCATACATCTGTTTCTGTAAAGCTACTCTATAATTCAAAACAAATGAATAAAAAAATGCCCTCATACATTTCAGTGCAAACAAAGCAGTGAGCACTGATGTAGGGTGAAGAGAAGAGTGAGGCTGGGTGGCTGGAGGATCTTCTAGGAGAAAGTAGTTACATGCCAAACGTGCTGGACCATCCTTGATGTTCCATTCAGATTGCTTTCAAAGTGGGTTCCTAACAGCACTTTATGTTTTTAATTAAGAAAAATCTTTTACACCTGGAAATAAATAAGACTGTTTTCTTTCTTGTCCTTCAGATTGAAAAACAGCTCAACTCAGAAATGCTGTTGAAGTGGACCAATCCCAGCACCATGGCCAATGCCAAAGTCAAACTCTCCCTTCCAAAGTTTAAGGTGGAAAAGATGGTTGATCCTAAGGCTAGTCTGGAAAACTTAGGGCTGAAAAATTTATTTAATGAAAGTACATCCGATTTCTCTGGAATGTCAGAGACCAAGGGAGTGGCTCTATCAAATGTGGTTCACAGAGTGTGCTTAGAAATAACTGAAGATGGTGGAGATTCCATAGAGGTGCCAGGATCCCGGATCCTGCAACACAAGGATGAATTCAATGCTGACCACCCCTTTATTTATCTCATCAGGCACAACAAAACACGAAACATCATTTTCTTTGGCAAGTTCTGTTCACCTTAAGTGGTAGAACCCAAGTTAAGTCCCACCTGATTTATCTGTGGATGCAGATTGCTGTAAACTCTGCATCCAGAGAATCACTTTCTAAATGCAATAAATTGTTAACATTCCTGGATCAGGAAGCAGCCAGTATTTGTCATGTGTAGCCTTTACATTAACAGGCCCTTCTTTTCTAATTCTTTTGTTACACTTTTTTACCTCCATAAAAGAAAATGACACATACTTTTAAGGAAAAGGAAGCACATTAGAGGAAAAAATATTATTTGTCAAACTGTCCAAGGTTGTTGGCAAAATGGTCCTCCACATGGAACAATTCCTATCAGGAGGATCTGGAGGATCTTGTTCTCAGAACTTTGCCTTTCTTCACCAGGATATAGAATGTTCTAGACATTCTGAAAGTTAAAAGAAATTCCAGTGCATGGGACCCACAAAAACTGCCTTCATCCAGTGAAAATGCACACATATTCACTTTACTGTACACATCCTTATGTTAAAACTTGAGAAACAAGTTTTCTTTCTTCTCAAACTTTGAATTTGGGAGATTTTAGGAAGATATTATGTTGCACATATGATTCAGTGCATTTGGTATGCTATGGAAATCCATTAATAGGGTCCGTACCAGCACTGTATAAATCAAGGCCTTAGTAGTTCTATAATGAATATTCACACAAAATGGACAAATAAAGACTATAGCCCCTACGTGGTCAAATTCTGCTGGTAAATGAGTATGCTAACAGCTTATGAACATACTTTGGGAACTAGCTTAGATTTTGAAATGCTGGATAAAGAATTATAGAACTATAGTAGATGAAGTGTAAGACCTCAAGGGGGACACACAATTCTTATTTAAAAATTGGTTTTCATTTCTAATATCTGTCTCACCTGGCCATTTGGTGCTGGCCTGGTGCCAGAGCTTCAAAGGGACTGATAAAGGGACATAAATTCCACAAGGACTCTCCCAGTAGCCAATAAAAAACTTTTGGTGTTGAAGGAAGTTGGCTCTTTGTCTAATGTGATGGGGAAAAAACAAGAAACCTAAAACCTTTAGAAAATATAAGTAAAGCTCTTAAAGTATTCACAATGCCTTGACATTTTTTTTTTTTTTTTAGCCTGTGGGTGTAGTTACTTTAGATAGTTTGTAATTTATACTAGTAATATTTTGTAAAGTGGTTCTGATAAGCTGTCTGTGTTATGGCTTGTGTATTAATTCACTACCAAAAGGACATATTCACAGAAGATTTTATGGTATTTCTTCCCTCATTTCTTCCTTGTTATTCAGTGTAAACAGGTTGTTCTTTCTCTGAAGGTTTAATATTGACTTAGTTCTGGCTATTGACAATACAATTTTATTGAATGATGTGTCTTTTTTTTCTCTAAGTTAGATTTACTATTTTGAAATAAAATCAAGCCATACATGTATGAAAGCATTCTTGAATATAAATGTCCCTTTGGTGATTGAGGTAGACTAAAAAGGAAAAGAATAATTCCTACCCTTTTCTCCTTCTTTCTTGACCATTCATTCTTTTCATCCAATTTATTCCTAGGGAAGAGGACCAGGACAGTGGGAGAATGACCCCAATTACTTAAGAGTTACATGAAATCCAAGACCTTGCAGGAGGACAGGGAGCTCCTCTGCAGCCCTTTTAACTTTGGCCCCTCCTTCAAAATGTAATTTTGTTAAGTAAGTTTTGTCAGATAAAAAGGCCAAAAACCAAGACCAGACTAGGCCACAACAAGCCTTTATTAGGGGAACAGATCTGCCGGGCTGTCTCTGAACAAAGGAGAGACAAAGGCAATATGGCCGGGGCAGGGATTGTCTTTTATAGAGACTGGGGTGGGGTTTGTAGGGACTGAGGAATGGAGGAGCCAGTGACATCACTAGTTGGTAGGAGGTGAGCGAGTATTAGGTTACTCTCCAGGCAGGAACAGGGGCATGCTGGGAAGAAGGGTTTGTTCTTTGGTGGCAGCAACTATCTTGGCATGACGTCACACAGGGGAGGGGGCAAGGCACGGTAGGAAGAGGGCAGATACTATACCTAATAGCTGCTGAAGTGGTGGGAAACCTATCATTCCAGGCTTCTGTTTTATGATAGTTGGGTGAAGGTCTCTTTTTTGGAGCTGCTTTCTGCTGACAAGGGGTGAAGATTGGGGCTAGACCTGGATCTGATGAGGGCTGTGGTAAGTGGGGGCTTCTTCCCTTTGTTGCAGTGGCTGGTACCCTGCCCTGAGGAGCTCTGTGACTGTCTGGTTGGTGAATGCCCTCATGCATTCCTTCAAGAAATTTTGAAAACAGTGAAACAGACAGGGTTTGAGGAGTAAGATAAGGCAGAGGGTGACTAGTGGTCCCATCAGAGGAAGGAGCCAGGGCAGCCAATTATTTAGGGAAAAGAGGTTTTCATTTACCCAATTGTTTATGCGTTGATCAATGTTCGAGGCCCTTTCAGTGAGCTTTTTTGCTGCATCTCATACTATACCTGATTGATTTGTATAAAAACAACATTCCTTTCCTAGGAAAAGACATATACCACCCTTCTCTGCTGTGAGGAGATCTAGCCCCCTCCTATTTTGGAGAGTGACAGGTGCTAAGGAATCTATTTGGTTTTGTAAAGTTGTGATTGATCTAGCTATTTCTTTTAGGCTGTCACTTAGCTCTTTAGAGAGAGTTTGGAATTGAGTTAGTGAGGTAGCTAGGCCCCCTACTCCTGTCCCTAAAGTGGCAGTGATGCCTAGTCCTATGAGTAAGGGTATTAGTTGGATAGCTCATCTTGTCTGACCTATTTTTGTTGGCACTGGTAAAGTTTGATTGTTTGGGGCTATATCAATGTTAGGGTTGAGGTAAACTAGCGTGCAAGTCCCCGTCCAGTTAGTTGGCAGGCACAGGTAGGCCGAAGTTCCACAAAGGAAGAAGACACTTTGAGGGGGTAAACAGAATTGGCTGTGTATGTTGAAAAGATGTGTGAGTTTGTTATTTTCCTTTTCCCATATTCCTAGCATTCCTGCCAATGGAGGCCCCATTAAGGGTTAAAGAGGTCCTTGGTGTGAGGCTTGTTGTGTATTGCTGGTCTTATTTTCCTATTGGAGGAAGAATCTCCTGGTATTGACCAGAAGGCATTCTGGAGAATGGTTAAATGTTGGAATAAGGAGGCATTCTGTAACTGAGGGGACTGTGTTTCAAGGGGTGCAAGGATGTATAATCATGCAAGGCATATGGCAACCTTTGCAAAGCCCCGAGTTTTTATTGAGAAGACCCTGTGTCATAAGTGAAGCACCAGTGAAGTGGACAGGCTGAATAAAGGGAGCATCCTGGGTGATCCTGTAGTTAGCATGACCTGATGAGGCCTGTAATTGTAACGTGTAATTGCACTTTTGAGAGGTGAGATGTCCCAACATGGAGCCCATGGACAAGTTACGCTGAAAGCAAAGTGGGGCTCGAAAGCTCAAGATGATGTTATCAGCTATAGGTCCAAGTATAGGCTTTTCTTTACTCTCATATAGAGACAGGTTAGCCATGTAAGATTGAAGGAGTTGGGCTGCACAACCTATTTGTGTTTTTTTTTGTCATGTCAGTGATGTGAAAGTCAGTGAGGGACTATTTATTAAATAACTGTAACAGGCCTCCCATCTTATATTGAGGATGGTAAGTGAGATTGGATATAGTCCAGACTTTTGGAGGTACCGGGATGGCCATAAAAGAAGCAGTGGATAGGGACATACGGAGCCAACAGTTACTGGCTAGTGATGGGTTGAATTGATTTAATAGGGAGTGGGTTGGCTGGATCATGTTATCTAGATAGTGTATAAGTGAGGAGTGAGTTAATTGGCAGTCATTGTGTATGTGTGTAGGGTTGATGGGTGAGGGTGGGGCCATAGAAACTGCATGTAGAGGAAGGAGGAGGATGGGAATGAGGGCATTTGGTAGAATTGTGATGTGGACCCTGTAGTGCATGATGGAATGGCGAGGAGTCTTGTCAAAGGGAAGAAGAGAAGACTGAAGAAATATTTTTGTGTATTAGTGAAGGCAAATAAGAATACCAAGAAGGGTGATAATTAGGTAATAGGTTGCTGTGAGAACACACTTTTGTAAGAAGGGCCAGTCAGTTGGGCTCATGGCAAAGAGTCACTAGAATAAAGAGGTAGAGGAGAGCCTTTTGGGGAGGTGAAATCAGTTAGGGAGCCCTAATAACAGCTGTCAGTCACCCTTGATAAATTATTGTAGACAACCAGTAATACTAATGAGGGTAATGATGAGGTAATATATTACCACCAGAATACATTTGTCCATAGTTTTCCAATCTCTTGGAGTGGTGGCAGTAAGCCCAGTCCCAAAGAGAAGGCCAAAAAGAATTAATAAAAGAAGGCTGAGGATATCTTTGGATGATCCTGTGTGTATGGAATTGAAATATCCCATGGCACCCTTAACAAAGGGGAATGTCTTGAGGCAGACGAAGGGGAGTGTACAAACAGCAAAGGAGGAGAAGAGAAAAGAGCTCTATCTCAAAACATGAAAAATCAGCTAGTGCTCCCTGCCACCAGAGGTCTATTACCCACTGGAGGATTGTCCCAGGGATGTCATCCTGTGGGCAGCACCAAGCAACGTTTTCCAGAGCACACTCAAGGAAGGCCTGAAACTGCTGCTGTAAGTGGACGTACATCTGTATTACCTAGGAAGGTCAATTGGATTTTGAACAGAAGATAGGGTTAGAAATGTCAATGGGGGGGGGAGAGAGAGAGAGAGAGAGAGAGAGAGAGAGAGAGAGAGATAAGAGAGATATTAACCTTCCTTGGGAATCTGTGAGAGGTTATGGAATAATCTGAGTCTAGTAGGTCCTGTGAGAATGGAAGAGTATCTGGCAGTGTTAAGTTGCTGTTCAGGCTGTTTCATCTGGAAATCTGCAGGAGCCTTTTTTCATCCTGGAAAGATGGAACCAGGGGACACTTTCCTGGAGTTTTACCATGTTAGGAGTTATTAATGAAACAGTGAAAGGTCCCTCCTGATGTGGTTGGAGGGGTCTTGGGGACAGGGCCTTAAGATATACCTGGTCACCTGGAGAAGGAGGAGGATGTAAAATGCCTGATGAGTCCGGAAAGGGGAGAGTTTGATTAGCCAGGGTTTGAAGGAGATGACGAGTGTAATTAAGTGTTGGGATATAATAGCAAGTGCTGGTGATGGGTCTGGTAAGTTAGAGAACAGGAGAGGTCATCCATACATCAACTCAAAGGGAGTTAAATTTAATGGGTTTTGGGGTGTCTAGCGAAGCCGCATGAGAGCTAGAGGGAGGAGGGTAATCCAATTTTGTTTGAGATTTGTTTTTGTTTCTATTGAGAGTTTAGTTAGTTGAGCTTTAATTAACCCTTTCGCTCATTCTACCTTGCCTGATGATAGAGGCAGATAGGGGATGTGGAGTTTCCACTGCATGTTGAGTGTCTCTGTTACCTGTCGGGTGGTCTGAGAGAGGAAGGCAGGTCCATTGTCTAATTGAATGGAATATGCAAGGCCAAATCGAGGAATGATTTCTGTTAGGAGCACAAGAAGTACAGCAGCTGCTCCTTCCGATCTTCAGGGAAAGGCCTCTATCCACCCCATGAACGTATCTACCAAGGTCAGGAGATATTTAACCTTTTTTACAGGTGGCATATGTGTGAAATCAATTTGCTAATCTTCCCCTGGTAGTTGTCCCCTGGACTGGTGAGTTTTTGTGTGTGTTTGAAAGCCACCTTGGCAACTGGTGGTTGGGCAAATGGGACAGGCCTGTGTTATTGTCTGTGTGTATGTCGCTAAGGATGGGTGGTATAGAAAAGGCCTGAGAAGGTGTAGGAGGCATTGGGTTCCTATGTGGAGTGAGTTATGTATGTCAGTGAGGAGAAGTATTATTTGGTCATCGGGTATGACATGATGTTCCTGATATAGAAGCCAATCAGTCCTTAGTGTAGCACCCTTTTCTATGTATTTGGCCTTTTCCTGAGGAGAATAATTAGGTTTTAAGGGTGGAGTGATTAACATCTGATTTTGGCTTTGGGGAACATATTGTTATGCTATGTTGCAGGCAGTTTGATCTGCTCTTTTGTTTCCCTGAGCTA